TTTTTTTTTTGTCCCCCCCCCACCACTCCCTCATCCGTTCCACTTCTCCCCCTCTGCTCACTCCCTCTCCCAGCCTCACCTCCGCCACTCCGAGCAGAACCACACACACAAAAAGCAGGTCAGCAACTTGTTAATATCATTGTTGTGATGTTTGTGAAGCGAGCGGCTGAGTGGAGCACGCGCACTGCACGTGTTAAAGAGGGAAAAAATAAAACTAATGCGCCTAACTTCAGCACAATATTGTCCGGCTGCTGGGGGCTGTTCTTGGGAGGGGTTGGGCCGGTCGTGGTTTGGGTGGGGGGGTAATAAAGCTGAACTGGCTTCTTCTTGAACCGTTGCCTATGCAGAGTGTTTATGGAGTCGAGTTTTCTGTTTGCGTGATATAACACAGGGACACTCCGCCGGGTGCCGATTCCGTTTTGGCTTATTTTTGGAGACAGTAGGAAGGGGTTTGTTAAGAGCGAACTTGTTGAAGGGTGTCTGCTCACAGCTGCTGTAATGAGTTTCTTCCTTGTGCCGCTACATTTCCACTGTGTCCAATCGGAGGCCTTATAAGGACAGCTGTGATCATTTCTGATGAGTAAGGACGGCAGAGTTTAACTTTCTTATTCCTCTTAACAGGTACCCTGACACTGAACAACAACTGACTTTCTGAACCACTAACATATATTTCAAACCACCTAGCCTGCACCGAAAGGTGTGAATGCTGCTGCTTTATATATATATAAGCTTTTATATATATATATATATATATATGTATATATATATATATAAGCTTATAATGCCTTATTTTCATCGCAGTCAGTTTGACAAGTTGCATGCAATTTACTTTTCTGTAAAATATACTTTTCTGCATGCCATTTTCACATTTTAATGTAGATGATACTAACAAAGTATTAAGATAAATGATATAATAACAAAACCATCACAGTGAAGAATGCAATTAATGTTTTCAGTACTGCATCTGTCACTAGAAAAAGTTTGCACTTGAATCAAATGTTTGCAGCTGGCAAAGTGTTTTAAGCAGGAAACTGGATATTCTAATTGCATATGTGTCTAGAACCTGAGCTTAAAACTGTAAAATATCTGCTGCTGCTACTGCAGCACTATGCGTGTAAATCCAGCAGCTGCAGGTGCACTGTGCAATGTGAAGCATCAGTATTGCATTAAGTTCTCAGTGACTCCATGAGGACATCAGCAGCTCAGTTACCACGATCAGTGCTTGTACTGACACGCACTTTGAGTTAATGAATGTTTAAATATGTCGATGATGTGGTGATTTAGTACTAATCAATCATTACCTGACACTGTATGTAACCAACTCTTGTTAAATCAACTTATTTCACCTCAGGTGTCCCAAAATGTTTGTCTTACACACTGCAATTTGTAACAATGGTGATTAATAGTTTATGGCTAAGATTAGTTTGGTGTTTACAAGAAGTACATCAGAAAAGTAGAAAGTCATCCGGCAATCTGTAATTAATTTGTAATTCAACAAAAACAAAAATAAAATTCAAATTTGTTCTGTTTCGACACCAAAAACTGAAAAAACTGTGTCAGTGGTCAGAATCAAAATAATGTAAAAAAAAAAAAAACCTTTTAAATAATAGTTAATTTTTGACAAGTCGTATTTAAAATTTTATTTAGAAGTCACAAATGAGAAATGAAAACAGGAATTTGTTAAATCAAAATTGGAGCATTTTTCAAAATGTGTTTTTCATGTTTCACCGTTTGGAAATGAAACCAAATTGACTAACTGACATCAATTTTGGGTAAAAATAAAAAAACAGAAAAGCCGTGATTTCTGATTTCCATACGACCAAAGGGATGGTGAAAATCCAGAAATGGTGCATATTTGATTGATTTTTCTGCCAATATATTTCTGAAATTGTTTTTTCATTTCTGGTTGTAAAAGAGCAGATTTATGTTTTTTTTTATTTTTTCATTTTTGAATCACAAATGAAGTCCTGATTATTCTATGATACCCAGATTCTTGGAGAGCACATCTTCGACTGAGACCGATGCCCTGTATTCTATTCAAAGAAAGCATCCAAACTTGCTCAAAAATGTAATGAGTTCTTCTGGTGTTCCGTGTTGTTAAGTTTAATTAAAGTCGTCTTGGTAGTTTTTGGGTAGTCTAGCTTACAAACAAGCAAACAAACAGCACTGATCACATAGAACTATTGCCTTTATTAAGCCTGCATGACTATGTAATAATGGATTAAGTACATGTATGTATTTTAGTTTCAAAATTCAAAAATACTAAATTACTTGTTTTACATTTCCATTAAGCCTCCTTGTTGTCACTAAAAGTCAGTGTGCTGTGATGCTTTAGACGGAGTCCTTTCACAGCTTAAATATGTTTAAACGTCTGTTATGACTTGAAATCTTAATGAAGAACTCAAATGCAACAACTGTGTTAAGAGTTTCAAGCTACTAATGAGATGTGCACTTATGACAGAGTTTGTGGGCAAACTGCTGGATCATTTCATATTTCATATTTCAGATGTTGTTTTGGATTATCTTTGTCTCATGAACCTAATCGAAAACGTCTGGAAGCCCTTCAGCTTGTTGACAAGTTGGAGGATGATGTGAGAGTGAAGTTATGTGTTTTCCCCGGGGGGATGTGTTTCATTTTTTACTAACAAGAGGGAGGATTGCATGTCACGTCTGTTGTCACCACAACCGGGTGGAACGCGACAGGACAGCTGCTTCATTCAGCCAACAAAGCCTTCAAGATGGAATTCGGCAGCAGTGCGTCTGTGCCACTTCCTCCGTTTTATCAGAATGTATAATTGCTTAAGGCTCGGACACAATGAGTGTTTTTGTGCTGCTGAGGAACCACAAAGTGTCTCAGAATAGAGAGCAGCTTATGATTTCAGTATGCTGACTGTTTCCTCTATGTGCTCGCTGTCACATAACATCTCAAAATAGATAATTGATTGTGATACCACTATGCTAAGTGCTTTTCATTGCTTTCCTGCCCTGTTTGAAAAAAAAAAAAGAAAAAGTAGAACAGAGCACAGAGAAGTATTTGTGATTTCGGCTGTTCGGGATGTTCTGTGCAAATTTGTACCATTTGTCTGTCATAAAGTTACACGAAAAGTTGTGACTTTAAATACAGTAAATTTTCTTTGGTTTAAGTCATGGTGAACTTGTACCATTTTTTTTATAAATGTTCATCCAATCATTATTTAAGTCAGTGAAAATTCGATTCATGCAATAAACATAACCAACAATCTTAAATAACATTAAGGTATACAATATCATGTACTTTATATACATACATCTGTATTTTGTAAAATTACAAATAATTCTAGATTATTAAAATCACAGGGGGAAAAAAAAGCATGAATTTTCATGCTAACTCACAAATCAGGTCAAAATATAATAATACACACATCTAAAATATACACATTTTTACAAATGATCATTTATTCTTGTGCAGCATTTGACTGTAAAATTATACTCTTTTACTATATTTAAATCAGCAAAAATTTTATTTTACAGATATTTATTTTAATTTAAATGTAAAATATGTATATTAAAGATTCAACTGTATTTTATTAATTTATCTATTTACTTTCATTCGTATTACTATTTTTCACAATTGTTATTATCACTGTTTTTGCAGTTTTTTATTGTTACGGTATCCCACTGTTTTTTTTAAATGTAAATTTTCTGGCAGCCTTGCTGTCGCTCATTCACTGTACAGAGCACATTACTAAGTTAAATATCAAAGTTGGGACCATATAGTATATTGCACCATACCAAACTACCTGACTCATTTTAAAATGAACGTTAAAAACCCCCACAAAATTATACATGAAGAACCCAACAAATCTAAATAATTCTGTACAAACAAACATATCAGCAGCAAAATGCATATTAGAGTTTCATCAAAAGGCATTTATTTGGTCGATGTCTTTTAAAGCCCAAACTAGATGCTAATGAAGTCCGTGAGTGTGTCCACTGAAAATGGAAAACCTATTTTTGAAACAATTAACAGCTACGTTTAACAGTTTAACAGTTACTTCGACCTTATCGACACCTGCTGTTAACACGTGATCTGTATCTGAGACATCATCTGCGTGACGACACCTGATCATTGACCTCAGGTATAAATAACCTTCTTGGTGACGAGATTTCTTGTTCACATCATGCTCATACCTCACTCTGATGATTGAGGAGTTCCAGGTCAAAGAAACAATGGTGCAGTATGTCCTTGAGTCACTTTCTATTGCAGGACTCAAGAGTTTTTTTTTTTATTGGAGGTTTATAGGAGTTTTTTTTTGTGCAGCCATTACAAATTGCATTTACACCTGACTGATATCTGATCGCAGAAGATGCCGTTGTAACTTTAGCTACCATTAAACCTGTCTTCAGTAGTTTACCTTCACTGTTGATAAGTTTACTTGATCTGAAATACCTTGGCTGATGTTGAAGGATGTGTGTAATCAGTGGTGGCTGGTGAAAAGTTTTGGTGGTGGTGGTTGGGGGGGGGGGCGCAGTCTGCAAATGACCTTTTATTTTACATTTTTAAAAAAGTCCTACTTTCCACCACTGTGACACAGCAGCTTCCTGTGCCGGTTACAGCGACACTAATACAGCTTAATGATCATCATGCTCATCAATTAACACACTCTCAAAAAAACTGGTCACAAATGCAGTCTGGAGCCCTGTTATTTGAACAACAAACTAGCTTTTCTCTCTTTCTGCCCTGCAAAACTCTCTATGACTTTCTGGGTTGAAGTCACTCATCTCTGTGAGCAGCATCTCCTCCATTGACAGCAGGGCCAATGCATTAAGTCGCCACGACAGTAGCTGTCATCTAGTAGAAGAGGACGGGAAAGCCCGTGTGACGGTGTCAAAAAGCGCGGTTGTAAGAATGTCAAAGGACAGTTTTAATATCCAACCACAGCTGACAAAAGCAAATAAAGACAAAATTAATTGGCTTACAGCAAAAGTAGACGGGTCCCAGACGCACCAATCTGCACCCGTGAGAAAATGTGCAGCTGCCAATCAGAGCCCAGGCCAAGGTCACATGATCACGAAAAGTTTTTCGAGCTACATACACAATCATGTCGTCAGTGCCCCGCATCCAGGAAGTGTAAAATGAGTTAACACTCAGTGAAGACTCATTTTAAATCTGTTAATAACACAAATATTGTTAATATGGCAAAAGAATATGAACGTTATTATTAATTGTATTATTATTTTGTTATAATCAGTTCAAATTTAATATTGTGTTTGAGAACTACTTTTTATCTGGTCATTAGTAATCGGGCGGCACCCCGACACCCCATACTGACCAGCTGCCACTGTGTGTAATAGCTCAACTGACCTAAACCAAACAAACTTCTGCAGAAATGAACATTTTGCATATCACATTGTGTCATATTTATAGTAAATGTGTGCATACAACTAGGACGTTCTACTTCTATGTATTATTAGGCCTTAAGCTTTGACCATGGTGCTCATATGTTCGTCACAGTCTGTCATCTCTGTGCTTTCAGTGGCTCAAGCTTGCTTACACTTACATAAGACATCATGATGCATGTGACGTAACTTTGCAGAGGATTGTGGGTCAGAATGGCCAGAAAAGCATCTTGACTGCATACTGCAAAATTGAAACCACATACAGCAGGACATCGTGGTATTTTTGGTGGATTACATTGGATATTCAGTGTATTGGGACACAATCTTTTTCTTGCATACTGTCTATATATCTATATATGGTAGAACTGATAATAGAACGCAGCCATAGTGACGCAATTAGCAGCTAAAGCTAGACCCATATTTATGCAGTTTCAGGCTGATTCCCCTACCTTCACTCTATCAAGAATCAGCCTAGAAATCTGGTCTGGGATCTTGGTCTGACCCAGTGTTGGTCCAGAAAATGAGTGATATTGATACGTGAGTCCGAATGAAAAAAAAAAAAAAATGGTAAGATTGTCTTGTATGCTACATTAGCAACAGATATTAAAACTGAGTTAAGATCTCATCTCCAGTTGTTACTGAAGAATTAGGAAGCAATGTTGACCACATCTCACCAACCATCTCATCATCCAGACTTGTTTAGTCTTTTACTTTTGTTTTTTTTTTCCCCTCACTGCTAAGTGTTATTAGCGTTACAATAAGTTGTTGCACGGCAGAATCCATTCTGTTTCCATCTGTTTCCTCATGAGATCACACCAAGTGGTGCTCTGCTCCCTGACTGCTCCCTCTGGCACCATAATCCTAAAAATATCCTGCACTATTATTTTCCAATGTTGCAGTGAGTGCATGTCTGAGATTAGACAGAAGAGTGTCTGTGAAGTTTCTACTGACCAAAACAGTATTAAAGAAGAATGAATAGTAAACTTGTTTTCAATTATTTTGTTGAAAACATAGTCTGAATAAATGCTGCTTTTTAAAATTTGCCTGCCAGATGTGTACTTGAGCATGTTTAAAAGAGTTCATCCGGTTTGTGAAAAAATCTTGTTGAAATGTCCATAGGTTGGTTTTATATGCTGGAAGTCACTTCATGAGTGAAATGTGCTGCTCCACCTTAAACTGCAGTATACCAATGATACTCTCAAAAACTTGGATTCCGACTTCCAGGGTTTCATACGTAATAAACCCCCCAGAAAAACCCAATCCTGTTAGCTTGCACGGTGGAACTTTCTGTCGCATTAGTTTTCTTCAGAATGTTACAATTTGCCACTGTGTAGAGGAGTTTGAACAGAGTCGTAGGTGAGCTGGTGTGCTCAAGCAGCAGAGGCAGGGACATTATGGATCTGCACATTCTAGAAGAAGCAACAGTGTCTAAAGCATCTAAACATCTAAAGCATTTATAGGCAGGAATAGATTGTTTTTAAGGGGAAAAAGCCTTAATATGTAACTTTAATATGCATAAATTAGTTTTTAGTGGTTTAATCCACAATTAGGGAGGGACTATGCTTTGCAAATAAACTCCATAAAATTGTACAAGACTAGCCTCTTTTCACTGTGATCTACATCATGTCAATCGCTTTAACTCGCTCCTTCTTCCTTTCCTCTCTCATCTGCAGGGGTTTTTCCTTCACTCCCTCCGGACATCTACCTCTACTGATGCTCAGCGGATACATTTTTTCTGTACACCTTCTGTGTTTTGCGATTTTCTTTTTTTCATGATGATTCATTTATCAGTTTTGCATCCGACATCCAAGACGCCACATTTTCCCAAACTTTTTCTGAAGAGAAGGCTGATTCCCGCCTTATCCTGCTAAGATTTCCAAAGACATCGTGTGTTTAGTTTCTGTTAGCAAGAAGCCTTCTGGGGTTTTCTCAGATACACTTGCACAACGATATTTCACTTTGACTTATGCTGTTTTTTGTTGCTTTCTTTTCGGGCACAAACTGAGGACACAAAAAATTTCCTCAGTTTTTTTTTCCCCCCCCTCCACATCTTCAGTTTCTCTGCTGCAGATATTTAGTTGAGGCCACCAAACTGAACCCCACTGGCCGCCTTGCTCATTTCCAGTTTTGTACACAATGTGGTCTACATTTTTTGTGACTGATGAGGAGGGCCGGACGGTGGGCCCGGCAGGGGCAGGGACAGTCGGAGGGGCTGCAGGAGGAGGAGCAGCTCAGGGCGCAGGGGGTCTGGCCGGCCTGATGACTGGACGCAGCACATTTGGTGGGGGCAAACGCCGCAGGACAACATCGACAGGAAACGCCATGAGCGAGGCCCAGGAGGGAAAGGTGACTGGTTTATACGGTGTAGTGTGAGTGCGTGTTCACCCTGTGGCTTCATGAAAGGTACTAATGGAGCCAATCAGTCATACAACTGCCTTTTAGGTGAAATCAGACTAATCTACAGTGCAGGAAACACAAGATCAGATGAATGACTTCTGATGTTGGAACACTTTAAGACATCAGGTGAAATACTTTGACATTAAGCAAAGAAAGTCAAGTTTAAATGTTGTCTAACGGTGTTAAGCAGGGTTGTAGTCACTTTGAAATGACCCGTCTTTCCATTCTAAACCCAGTTCTGTCTTCAAAACCAGGTCTCCCAACCAGCTTTCTGAAGAAATGAAGACCAAACATCGTATTTCTTGTTTTTTTGTTGTGTTCTGATCTTCAGACTAAGATTTGAATATAAGAAACTCAGGAGATTTATGTGCATACTGACACCAACTCGTTACATTAAGAACCATGTTGATTCTTTGTTGTGTTGTGTGTAGGAGTGATGGAGAGGTGGCCGAGAACAGTGAAACATAGTAGGGCTACTCTAAAATGGAAGAGGTAGAAGAGGTCTTGTTTGATAAATTGACTTTATTTATTTTAGGGTATAAATTTATGTCGCTGCTGTTCATTGAAGATTAAATGTCAATTTTTGATGGTGGGTCATGCTTTCCAAGTGCTTAATGTATGCGAGGTGTGAAATTGATCCATTCACAGCTCATGGTCTCTGACTGGTCTCACTTGAGTAAATGTTTACTAAAGCTTTCTGGCATGTTCATATTTACCCGACAAAGCTCTAAGGATCAACAGTTTGTACTTCCAATAAAGGTTAGGAAGTAAAGGGGCACCATGTGAGAGTTTTCTCTTCTTTTACTTGAAGTTATGCCGACACCAGTAGTGTTTTCCTTACTAGGAGAGGAATCCTTACCTCACACTACTTGAAATAATAACGGAAGAGTCATTCTGTTACATTTATTTCACAGTCCTGAGCCCATTTGGACTTACACTGAATGCATTATAAATCAAAATGGCTACAACGAAAGTGAGTCGAATAATAAAGGCAGTAAAAGTAGCTGCTAAAAGTAATGGATTTCTTCAAAAGTAATTCAATAGCTCATATGGTTTTTGATTGTTTTTCATTACCAGATCAAGCTGGCGTTCTTCGTGGCCATTGTGGGCGTAGTCCTGACAGTGCTTGGGGTCGGTACAGAGTTCTGGGTGGAGCTGTCGCCGCCGAAGAATTTCTATAACAATCAGGTGAAACAACAAAAAAACTGCAAAAAGAGCCTTCAAACTTGTGCTTGTCAGTTGTGGTGCTATTTTCACTGGCACACCAACGTGTCAAGGTGTCTTGGACGTTATTAATTGGCCCGGGGATGTTTTCTGCGGCGCAAAAAGCATCAGAGAAAGAAACCCAACAAAACTGTAATTTCCTTTTATGAAATGAAATGCTGTTGGGTCTGAAAGGCTAAAAAAAAAAAAAACTATGATAGATGGCAAAGAATATTACAAAGAAAAACCCTTTGATTTTTCAGACGTGTCTGACAGCTCACTATGGCCTGTGGAAGGGCTGCACCAAGACCCTGTGGGTGGCTGATATCGACCCAGAGAGAGAAAGCTGCGGACCTGCTGAACTTCCTGGAGGTGACTCGCAGCATTATCGCCTGGTTGGGTGGATGTCTGTGTGGCTTTTTGTGATGGCTGACTGGTCTGTTTGAGAAGGGGACGCCTGAGCTGATGATTGACAGGCCAACTGGCTGACTGGACGTTTGTCAAAGTGCCGAGATTGTTGGACGGCTCAGTTTGAGGGAGTGAGTTAGCATGAATAAGTGGTCTACCTGCCTTTCTGGCAAGACAAATGATGCTTGGCTCAGTGTTTGATGGCTGGCAAGGCTGAATAGTCTGGCTGACTAACTGGCTGAGTCATTGTTACATAGTCTGAGTGAAAGGGTTTTGTTTTTAGGTCAGGTGAAGGGATGCATGGACAACAATATCAGCGCTTCGGGCTTCTAAACTATTGAAATTGAAGCTGTGTTCAGAGAAGCAGTTATAATGCATTCATTTTAATGATATCAAATACACTGACTATGTTTTTGCCATTGATTAAAGTCCAACTAAGGTCAGACACCACCATTGCAGGAGAAAACTGGCCAAGGCTCCACTATACCAAATAAATACAGAAAAGTCCAATGTTCCACCTGTACACCATCATTCCAGTTTGTTGAAACACAGACAGACTGACTGAGGAGCCTACAGAGACCAACCATGTGTGTTCGTCATCAGTTTTAGACCAGATATCTGTTTGAATTTCATCAAAACAAGGAAGAAAGTTTCACAAGGTTACTGTCTCAGTGGATTAATGGTGCTGCACTTTACCGTGGGACTTTTTGAACATAGAAATTGACAGAAGAAGGCTGGAAAACACTCATTTTATGTGTGTAAGCAGACTATACGTTTGATACTGAAGCACATTCCTGCACTGTTTCTTTTACATGATTATGATTGATTTTGTATTTCGATGATATTGTGTAGGTAATATCCAATTGTGCCGCAGTTAAATATCTCAGTTTTGACAGCAACACAGTCAATTTGCAAATAAGAACACGAAAAGTCATGTGTAAGTACATTCTGACAAAGGATTACAATGATTTAAGCTCAACAATTCAAACTTTTTAGACCTAATGGACGCACTTTCTTTCCAAAATCACACCCCTTCTTCTCTGTTGAATCGCTCTCGAAGCATTAATTGCAACGAGGGGATGGGCATATTAAATGAAACCACAGGACTCGACCTTTCCAACAATGCCAGTTGTTTATTTGTGCGATAAAGTGTCAGTGAGAAAAATAATTTAGAATTTACATCAAATTTAATCAGAGTTATGACCTGCATACAGCTGCACAACTACTACTCTTGGTTTTAATATTGACATTGTACTGATATTGACAGATTCCAAATAATCTTCCCTCCACAATTAAGAAAAGATATTGCTCCTGCCAGCATTTAATGGTGAGATACATGTAAATAACATAACAATTCCATAATGTGAAATATTCTCCCTGTATATATAAAAAAATAGTATAAAACAGCTGAAAGTGTTGCCATATCAAATGATGGAAGATCTGAGTAGCCTAGACTGTTCCAGATAAGAAAATGTACAGCATTTATGATTAGCCCTTAAAATGATCAAGATTGGAGCTTAAAAGCTAAGACAGAGAAATTACCCTAAAAGTAGCCAAGTGTGACAGTAGATAATGTCAGGTTACACACCATATTACTAGTAAATACTGTGAATTAAC